CCTCACGAGGCACAGACTGGTGACATGAGCACAATAATCTAGTGTTTACGTGATGTCATATAATGTTGCGTAGCTCGCGTGACTGTGAGGTAGCCCGCTTCTCTCATTTGTCCCAGTGGTTGATGAGACTTAACGAGGGTTGTGATTTTTCAGAGGTTGTTGGTAATTGGGTTCTGGTAGGGTTAGCGGTAGTGTAGCGAAGGTTGTGTTGCCAGAGTGGGTTCCTTGACATGCGTGTGCTTGGGGATGGCTGAGGTTGATGCGGTGTTGCCCAACTCTGCTCTCTTAAGAACATCTGCTCATCTTCCAATGTCCACACGAATGTCCTCCGTTCTACACTTCCCAACTGTGTTTTCTACCTCATTGGTTTCTCTTTTCTCTCATGTGTGAGGGTGTGCTTGGCCTGTGTGTGAGTGTGTCCTTGGCCTGTGTGTGTGAGTGTGTGCTTGGCCTGTGTGTGAGTGTGTCCTTGGCCTGTGTGTGTGTGTGCTTGGCCTGTGTGTGTGAGTGTGTGCTTGGCCTGTGTGTGAGTGTGTCCTTGGCCTGTGTGTGTGTGTGTGCTTGGCCTGAGTGTGTGTGTGTGCTTGGCCTGTGTGTGTGAGTGTGTGCTTGGCCTGTGTGTGTGGGGTGGAGGGTGGTTGTTGTGGCGGTGTAGGCGTGTGTGTGTTTTGTGGCGGTTTGGGTCATGTATTGTGGTGGTGTGGGCGTGGCAGAGCTATTGATCGGCGGGGGTGTTTTAGTACTGGTGTGCCATGCCGCGCCCACCACACTACCCCATCACTACTACTGCTGCTGCCTCCGTCTCCACCACCACCATAACGGCCACCACACTCTCACCACTCACCATAATCATCACCTCGTCCTCAAAGAAGAGAACGCAAAAGGCTTTTCATAAGTTGATGAAATAATGGATAGCAGTTGTCCCAGCATAGGAATACAAGCCTTCACAGAGGGCCGAGACGGAACACAAAGTCAATCACTCGTGTCAATATAAACACAATAGGAACCATCTAAGAAATAGAAAGCAGTCTGAAAAGCCTTCATATTTGTCAAGAGCAAACCTCAAGTTACAACCAGAGGTGCTAAGCACAACTAGCAGCTGCAGAAGGCCCATTAGTCCATAGGAGTCAGCGTCCACATATATCTACCCAAACTCAGTCTCATATTTGTCTAACTTATGCTTGAAACAATCGATAAATCCCACGTATATCATATCCGGTAATTAGTTCCATAAATCAAAAACCCAGTTTCTAAATATTTACTCGAGTATTTCCGGTATCTAAACCTGTTTATATCCATTGTTTCGTGTGTTTTTTTTCAAAAAAGGATAAATCTAAAATTATATTTATATTCTCTTTTTGTCATATTCTTTCAGCCATTGATATACTTCAGTCATGTCATCTGTTAATCTTCGTCGTTCTAGAGGATGTATGTTAGGCTTTTTTAGTCTTTCATCTTTGTGCGCGTTCAAGTGAATTTAGAGTCATTCTTCAATATAAAATTTTATAATAATATTAGACGTCTTGTTGCTAGTGCTTCTAGAAATTATTGTTTTGACTACAGATCCCTAGTGATGATGATATATGAGAGCTCGAGTACAGAATATACACAAAGTAGTGCACAGCACCATGAGCGCGCCCTCTGGAGCGGGGCGGACCAGCCTAGCAACGGCTGACGCGAGAAAGTGAACCACTAAAACAATAGTGAATAATAATATACCTTAGCGGCTGGGTTGGGGCACTATATTACCACCATTACATCTCCACACACACCTCAAGCTCCCTAGTTTTTCCTCCGTCGTGTCCTCCTCCTGTCCATCCTCGCACTATTCTCAGGCGAACTTCATTAAAAATTTGACCAATAATTGAGTATGAAACTATGGACAAAGGCAGCCCGCTGCTGCTACTTAACCTTTTCTCGAGCCTTCTCTCGTTCCCCCTCTTCTCTTCCCTTTTCTGTTCTTCTTTTCCTGCCCTCTCCCTATAATATCATGTTTCTCCCTTTTCTCTATATTGCCTGCATTTTGAATTTAATATACATTACAAGTGTCAGTTTTGGCTCACTTCGGGGGCAATTTGGTGTCTTTTCTGGGGTGATTTGGGAGCTGTTCCCCGAGGTTTTGCGGTAGTCTTGGGGGGGGGGTCACTCCACGACATCGTTCCCTGGAGGTCACCCTCAGGGTCACCTCTGGAGATGCGGTGACCTTCAGAGGTCACCGCTTCTCCAACATTTTTACTGCTTCAGCTTCAGGTCAGACACTGGGGTCATTATATATAATCTCACTCTGGGGTCACACTTGGGTCATTCCTTGGGGTCACACTTAGGTTATTCACTGAAAAAGGACTGGTTTCATTCTGCTGGGCAACAGAAGCCTCACCTGAGTGGGGTCACATTCTGGGGTCACGGGTATGACCCCACACACACTGCTTATACAATCCCACAATACCTAGATCACGTATACGAAAGTATAGCAAGCCGGGAACAGGTTTAAGATGTAATGTGGGCAGACTTGTTCTACGAGAGGGGACTTGAGAACTCGTAAGAACAACAAGAAATAAATAAACGAGTAAGAGACACATGGCTGACGTTGAAGCGGTAACTGAAAATAAAACGGCTAGCTTAAACTCGCTTAAATATAAGGATACCGCAACGGAAGGAAGGAAGGTGGAGAAAAAGGTGGGTAGAGAGGTTCCCGCGCTGGCGGCCAAGTGTAGGGCAGCTGCCTCCTGACATCAGCGTCCCCCCCTCCCCAACCTCCACGCGCGCGACATTTAAAGGTCTGACCGCGGCAGGACGTCACAAGGCTCCCGTCCCAGGTGTGTGTGTGTGTGTGTGTGTGTGTTTCAAAACGATCGTACTAACTAGCAAACAATGTGTTTGCTAGCTAGTACAGACAACGTGTGTACTAATTAGCAAACAAGGTGTTTGCTATCTAATACTAGCAAAATGACGGTGATAGCCAGCAACTACAGCCCAGTGACACGGCTGTCAATCACTTTTGAACATTCTAGAGACAAGTGCCTTAAACGTATCATCATTAATGTTACGTGATGAAATTAATATCTTAGGAGTGAGATACGACCAGGTAGTGATGACCACAATGGCCACCTGGAGAACTTCACGAACAAGGCAGTCAATAAACCTGCAGTATTAAGGCACACGTCTTACCATCTACGACAGCAGTGACTGCAAAATTTTTTGAAAGCAAGCTAAGTTCCACTGACATTGAGTATGCACACTCCCTTGGGCAGTGTCCCACTACCTATCCTTCAATTTCTGGAGTAGGCAGAGTGTAAGGCGATACATCTCGAGCCTAACCCCGCCTCGGCTGGACCTCTGATGACAGCAGTGTGTCTTCAAGAGTTGCGTCGCTGTCTTTACTGTTATGTACAAGGCCGGTGTTGGCAAGGTCCCCCAATGGTCCAGTTCCGGATAACCGGAAGAGTGCATTTATACCACACACACCACTTTCTCTCTCTCTGTTCCACTCTCAAGGTTATTATTCACTCGGCCATTATTCGTCACTCCCCCTGACCCGAGCTCGCGTCATGTTCACGTTACAAATAGATATTCGAGAAATCCTGTCAAGTGGCGAAGGTTGTGGGTAACAAGGCGGTCACAGTCCTGTAACATAATGTTACAGTGACCAACACTCAGTGCAATACACGACTTTAAAACTAATTATTTTCCCAGGTTAAGAACATGTGGGGTAATTATTTGTTGGCTTGTGGAGTGTATGAATAAATATTAATGCTTATGATGAAGAGAACCCTAAGAAGAGAGAGAAGGGGAGAGAGAGAGAGAGGAAGGTGAGGGAGAGGAAAGAGGCATTAGGATAGTGAGAGGAAGGAAGAAGGAAGCGTGTTGTGAGGGGAGGGAAGGGGTAGAGTGACACCAAGTGGTGGGAAGCACGTGTTTCCTCCCCTCCACACCTGCCACTCCACACCTGCCACTCTCGGGTCCACCAGTAACACGTGTGTTGTTCTTTGTTAAATACACTCATTACCCTCCTCTGTTCCACTCCTCCCCCTTTCGTCCTTTTACGTTTTCATTCTCCACCACTTTCCCTCTCCCTTCCATGCCTTATTTCAACTTACCGTGTTCCCCTGCCCGTCTCCCTCCCTCCCCCCCCTCCACACCTCCCCCCCCCTCCACTGTTAGTGAAGAACTAACCTTGCGGCACCTCATTCAAGTCTCGACCATCATCATCATCACACAAAGCGAACAAAACAGTGACCAAAAATTACTTGCGGAGTAGGAGGGGGGAGGGGGGATAATGTGTGTGTGTGTGTGTGTGTGTGTGTGTGTGTGTGTGTGTGTGTAGCGAACTAGCGACTAAGTCTCTACAAAAGTCAAAAGACATGTATGGGCAAAGGAAAATTAGATTGGAAACCACGAAGCTATGTTGTAAGATGAGCTGACCCGCCGGTGTGTACACGTCTTGCACCCCAGAGATGAATCATCGTGATCACCACCGTCCCCCCCTTCCCTCTGCCCCCCCCCCCCCGCCCACTCCTCACGCCAAGACAGTTTGCGGAAGCGAGGAGACCCTGGCGGGTAGCCCCCAACAACTTGTAAACATAGGTCAGGAGGAGCAAGGCTGTGCAATTAAAGAAAACAATTACCAGTGTAGTGAGAGTTACGGGGGGAGGGGGGGGACGTGAAGTAAATTCAAGGCGCCTTGAAGTGGGCACAAGGCGGACACTTGCGATGGTAGTCAGAGTACAGGTCTTGGTATTACGTAGCGGTCTACAGATAGTTAATGCTTTTGTTTGTCAACTCTCTCTAAGTATGCTCCAGGTATGTGTCAAAATGTTAGGACTTAAATTAAGACAATACGTCTCGTTATCTCCGGGGATGTATACGATGACAATAGTGTTAAATTAATGGCCTTCTGACACCTGTACAGCTCGCCAGTACAGTCATAACGTGTCCAACCATTTGTGTTTAGTTTTCATATTCCATAAATCCCCATAAACTAACGCCGTCATGTTCCCCAGGAGGAGTGAGGTGGAGGCTGGAGGATGGCTACCGTAGATGAGCTGGACCTGGACGTGGAGCTGGGGCCAGGCAACTCCTATATCATCAATAACCAATCGTACATCAGCAAAGCCGAGGTCTATGGCGGCTACAGGTATGTTGTCACTTATAGTTGGCCTCTTGAGGCATTATTACGCTTTCTCGCGCTCTCGCTCCTGAAGCTTGGCATGTTTTGTATTTAATTTTTCTCCCTCTAACTTCTGAGGATCTGTATTACACTTCTAATTGTAAGCTGTTTATCCAAATATATCGTTACCTCGTTAGTGCAGACTTCATCTTGTTGTTGCTCTGCACACTCTCAATCCTTCCATTCATAAATAGTTGCGTGTAGAGAACATTTAGTACTGACAACTATGTAGATTGCAGATAACCAGCAAAATAAGAGTAGACTACCTTGGTGTGCAATGAATGATATAATTTATGAGGTAGAGAAGGCTGGTGTTTATGGAGGTTGTGTCACAGGTGCTTAACACAGAAGCTAAAGTTAAATTCCAAGGAAAAACATCCTCCTCAAAAAGGTTGGAAAATGGGATTTCGCAGTGAGGAATACTCTTCCTCTTCAACTGTCTCATAGAACGAGTCATAAAGCTCAAGTTACCAAAAGCCAAACTGCTTAACTTTGCAGACGACTTTGTGGTCATCAATGGTAAAGGCGCCAGAAACCACGCACAAAAATACCTAGACATCATCAACAGGGAAGCGGAACACACAGCAATGAAAATAAACATCAATAAAACCAAAGCAGTGACAGTTAAAATGAGAACGCAAGACATTAGACTCGCAATACAAGGACATGCAACTGAGTGGGTTACCGCTGTTCAATACCTTGGAGTCATTGCAGACAGCCAGTTGAAATTCACTCAAGAAATTGAATATCTTCGACAACGTTGTAAAGCTAAAAGGTCAGTTTTGCGCTCCCCGACAAGACTGGAGGAGATGGTGCATCTCTACCAGTACTCAAAGTGTACTACGTCGAAGTGTTGCTCTCTTCACACACAGAGATCACAATAACGTGATGCATCAAATGAACAAATCCACAAGGGCCTACCCTGTCGTAGCTCAGTCGATTAAGGCAGTGTCTGGGATGCTCCCGGACGCAGGTTCGAATCCTCGTCACGGCCCTTGTGGATTTGTTGCTCTCTTCTTTGTTTCCTTTATATAAAGTTATAAATAATGACTGACTATCTGGTTAGCGATTGAGTGGTGACGTGTTGCAGGTGCGGGGACCTGGGCCTCCTGCTGCCCTTCTTCTCGGAGTACACGTGGCCGGAGGAAGTGCGCGCCTTCCTCTACCTGGCCGGCCTCCTCTACTGCTTCCTGGGCGTCGCCATCATTGCTGACATCTTCATGGGCGCCATCGAGAAGATCACTAGCAAGACCCGCAAGGTGAGACATAGAAGGTGACGGAGAGCTTGCAAGCCTAGGAAATGAGGCTTGACAAGACTCCGTAAAATGACCACAAATAAGGTGAGCGCCAACACTCGCGTTACAGCCCCGCCCCTGTGCCAGGTAAGTCCACTACGGGCTCACCATAGCCCGTGCTACTTGCCACTTTTTGTTCCCAGTAGCTGAGTCTATAACAACAGGTGAGTCCACAGTGAGGAAGGAGGGATGGAACTCAAGAAATGTGTGTGTAAGGAAGAGCAGTAGTGAAGGGCTGCGGGGAGACCATGACTGTGAGGAGTGAGTGTGTGACCCTGGAGGAAGCAAGGTCAAGTATAGAGGCTGAGATAAGGAGAAGGAAGGGATGCGAGGCGACGTGTCTCTTATCACTTATGACATCCGTGGCTCCTGTCTTGAATCCTTGCCGGTTGTAGTTCCTCCACTACCTAACCTTACCTTGAGGTAATCATACCAGCACGACTAAGGCAGCCTCCTTCCTCCTGCAGGTGTATCTGACATCGGACAAGGAGGACGAGCCGGAGGTGATAGAGGTGCGGATCTGGAGCGACGCAGTGGCCAACTTGACACTAATGGCCCTGGGTTCGTCAGCGCCCGAGATTCTGCTCTCCATCATTGAGGTGATCGGCAAAAATTTTAATAGCGGGGAACTCGGGCCAGGCACCATCGTGGGCTCGGCCGCCTTCAACCTGTTTGTGATCATAGCGGTGTGCATCATGGCCATCCCCAGCGGCGAGATCAGGAGGATCAGGGACATTAAGGTACGAGTCTTCAGTAAGTTCTTTTAATGTTCGCAGAGTTACTGGCCAGGCCCAGCCAGCTGGGTGGTGGGTGGGTGTGATCACTCTCACTCTACCATCCTACATTCTCCTTTCCTTTGAACTATAAACCGTTTCGAAACTCTATCTCTGCCTCATGGGATCTTAAGTATTTATTTCAGCTGTGCCAACCCCACACACATGACATTATATGCGTATTGCTGATGGTGGTCTTTATTCATTAGTCTCTAAGATACAGCATCAGTCTGGTCTCAACCTCCGCACATTTCCTGCTTCCACAATCTGTTTTGCTTTGCATTATATTCCCCCCTCCCCCGAAGATCACGCTCACGGTGCTCTATGTAAATTCTATGATTTTCTGGTATTTCCCCTTGTAAACCTTCCTCTTTCCCCAGTCTTTCGAGCCTCGTGTCAACGTTTCTTCCTGTGGCAGCTTTGGGGAGCTACTGGCAGCATCGCCGTCATCAGCCCGAGGCTGTAGTTTAGCTCTTTCTTGCCATAGTTCAGAATGAAAACTTAGAGCTAACCTTAATGGATGGAGCTATTAAATAATAATAATGAAATAAGCGCTCGCTTTATTATGGAGTGATTTATGCATATTTATATTTTATTAAACATAGTGGAACACGAGTACAAAGTGAAGTTGGGCCTTTGTGTGTGTGTGCTTCGGCATTCATTTATTTTGTCCAGCATTTTTTTACGTTTGTTGCTTGAACACGCGCTTAATGGTCCCCCTTTCCTGCCTTATTCGCGCCATATATGTATAGCGCCCTGGAGAGGCCACTCCAGACCGACAACCAGAGCGCAACTCCATAGTCTCCTGAGACTGATGGATGCCTACTACTACTACTATATGTATTAATCGGCCACCTTTGCTGGCAACAGGTGTTTGCAGTGACGGCGGTGTTCTCGGTGGTGGCATACCTGTGGCTGCTGCTGATCCTGGTGGCGGTGTCTGAGAACGAGGTGGAGGTGTGGGAGGCGGTGGTGACGCTGCTGCTCTTCCCGTCGCTGGTGGTGCTGGCCTGGCTCGCGGAGAAGAACCTGTGCGGCGTCCCCAACAAGACCGACACCAGTAAACAAATCGAGCTTGGCAGTTTTCAGCCAGGTGAGAGTAAGTGACGCGTTCCATTTTTTCTCCCCGTTGTGTTGCAGTTCTTGTGAGCGTCCGTAGTGCGCTGGACGTGGAGTAGTGGTGGCGGTGCTCTGGGGGTTTGCGCGAGTCTTCTGGCTACTGCTGCTACTTCTTCTGTGAATTAAGCTGCCGCTGCTGTTCTTCTGCCTCAGCCATACCCCCCCCCCCCCCCCCCCACACGCTGGTTATCACTTGTGTAAAGCCCCTCCCGCCTCCACCCCGCCCATTACACTCCTCACTCACGCGGTGTAACAAGATCTCCACGACGTCGTAACTTCTCCTCCCCGCCCTGCAAGCCTCCATCCACCCTCCTCGGCCAGCGTGTGGAGCCCTCTTTATAATAACACGCATGGCACACTAAAATTATCTTTCTGTAACAACTATGGGTAGTTATCCCTCCAGTGTGGGGGTTGTGTGAACCACCAGTAGTTATCCTCCAGTGTGGGGTTGTGTGAACCACCAGTAGTTATCCTCCAGTGTGGGGTTGTGTGAACCACCAGTAGTTATCCTCCAGTGTGGGGTTGTGTGAACCACCAGTAGTTATCCTCCAGTGTGGGGTTGTGTGAACCACCAGTAGTTATCCTCCAGTGTGGGGTTGTGTGAACCACCAGTAGTTATCCTCCAGTGTGGGGTTGTGTGAACCACCAGTAGTTATCCTCCAGTGTGGGGTTGTGTGAACCACCAGTAGTTATCCTCCAGTGTGGGGTTGTGTGAACCACCAGTAGTTATCCTCCAGTGTGGGGTTGTGTGACAACCACCAGTAGTTATCCTCCAGTGTGTGTGGGTGTGTGGGGTTTGTGTGGATATTTCAGGATGGTTTAGATATTGTTGAAGGTTATGATTATAGGTTCTTTAGGGTATAAATGGTCGAGTTTCTTCTGTTATATTTTGTTACGGTGTGATGGTGTTGAGGCGTGAGGTCGCCCTCATCCTGAGCGCTGTGACCAGTGGGACCATTGAGAGTGGAGACGGCCAGGAGCTCGACCTGTCCTCAGGCGCGCCGCCTCGCTCCCGCCATACACACGCAGTCATAAATTTTAAGTGTTCACAATTGGTATTTTCACAAATATTATGTATTCGAATTTGGTGTATAGTTAGGTCTAAATTAGGTTAGGTGTTTAGGTTCTGTTTGGCAATTATTCTGGACTTGTAGTACTTGTGTGAGACATTTATAAGGCGAGATTCACACAGGTGGTCAGCGAAGCTCTGTTCGAGAACTGTTCGAACGTAATCACTTTAAACTGTGTTAAAGTGTTTTTTATTCATAAGCAAAAGGATAAGCGGCCGGATTAACGAGTATTTGGTCGTTATTATAACGAACTGCTGGCGGTTTTCTGGTGGAATTCGAACCCGATTCGGGAAGGTATCGCAGATGTAATCCCATCCTGAAGGCATTGATCAAATGCGTGTTAACCCAGCAGCTGTGTCTCTGCTTACGAGTAAAATAATACTTGACACGTGACTCAACTGATTACGTTTGATTTGTTATTAAATACTACTATTCTCACTATTTTTATCATGCGCCGCTAGATACTCCACATTCCAACTGCAAACAGAAATTGTCACCAGAACGAAGACCACTAATCTACCCTACTTCAGGCATAACGAAACACATAACTGTATTATATATTAATGTATATATGATAAAATACAATTGTGTATAATACAGCTGGGTAAAATTTGTGTATGTCGGGGTACGGTGGGCGACCTAATGACCAATTCCTGTGGACGGCCTTGTTAACCCGGACTTAATTGTGCGTATGTGAGTGTCAGTAATGATAGCCTCTCGCTGGGGCCTCTACAGGACCCTCTACAGGACTCTGTACAGGACTCTGTACCAGGTCTACGCGCCGCACACATTACAGAAGTATAATGTGTGATAAAGCTTCCCACAGGGAAGGTGACGTCTCAGAGGCCTGGAGCAGGAGTTGTCCAACATTTACCAAACCACTTAAGAAACCAATCCATCTTTCAATAATCATGACGACCTTTTTACGAACAGTTTACGAGCTTTGCAGTGTTTTAAGAGCTAATAAGCTGTTTAATAAATGTAAAGCCGCCATGTTGTTGGAAGATGTACACATTTCGTAAATGTTTGATAAACTTGGCGCGGGGCGGAGCGAAACGTCGCCACTCTCTTGTGACGTGTGGGTTGTGTTGTGTGTGTGTGTGTGTGTGTGTGTGTGTGTGTGTGTGTGTGTGTGTGTGTGTTGTAGAGAGCAAGACAGAGAGGAGAGCGAGGCTCACCGTCCTGCTTGACAGGAGTCATCCCGTCTTGACAATCTCTCACAAGTTCTACGAAACTGATCACTGTATCTAAATGTATCTTGATTGCCTTTGAATAATTGTGTTGTATAATCCCTCAGACCACGAAACGGGTTTATGAGAAATGTATGATAGGCCTATTGTTAGCGATGTAGGTTTGGCGTGGCACGGTGCCAAAGGCAGCTCTCACCCCTCTTTAACATTGTTATATAGAGGTCTTGTATGGGGGGTTACAGTGACACCACCACTCCCCCCCCCAGATATATGTGCCTTTTAATCACTGCCTCAGTCATGTACTCTCCCTTGACCTTGCTGGTAACAGTTGTCATGCAGTGACCTCTTGCCGGCAGTGACCACGTGACCTGTGACGTCACGTGACCTCTTCCCGGGCGGTGGCCACGTGACCTGTGACGTCACATGCAAGACCTCTATAGCTGAGAGTATAACAGCATGGGGATGTAACCCTTATGTACAGTATTGTTGTGAACTATTGTTGCTAAGATGCCTGCATGCTCATATTAACAACTAATTAACTTTGTACTATTTGTAGTATATGTAAATAAGTACTTTAATTATATGCATGATCATACATATGTATTGTAGATTTATACATTAGTATATCTGTTGAATTCAATATAACTTGAGTTCAGTAGGAATCACATTTTGTGAGGTGAACTGTGTCCGAGTATTGTGTGTACGTGTTGAAGATATCAGAGGGAGAAGCCAGTAACAGAACAGTGTGAGTATGTATATTGGTGTATGATTTGATTTCGTGTATTATTCATGTATAGGTCTTATCATTGGTTTCTTTTGTAACCCCAGCACACAGGAAATATTTGGCAGGTAGGCCTACCCGTCTCCAGCTGCCTGTGGCCCGCGCTCAGGGCACAGTGCCTGCCCCCTCCCCCACCATGGCACAGTGCCTGCCTCCCACCATGGCACCATGGCACAGTGCCTGTCTCCCACCACACCACCATGGCACAGTGCCTGCCTCCCACCATAGCACCATGGCGCAGTGCCTGCCTCCCACCATAGCACCATGGCACAGTGCCTGCCTCCCACCACACCATGGCACAGTGCCTGTCTCCCACCACACCACCATGGCACTATGGCACAGTGCCTGCCTCCCACACACCATGACACAGTGCCTGCCTACCACACCACCATGGCACCATAGCACAGTGCCTGCCTCCCACCATGGCACAGTGCCTGCCTCCCACCATGGCACAGTGCCTGCCTCCCACTATGGCACAGTGCCTGCCTACCACCACACCACCATGGCACCATGGCACAGTGCCTGCCTCCCACCATGGCACAGTGCCTGCCTCCCACTATGACACAGTGCCTGCCTCCCACTATGGCACAGTGCCTGCCGCCCACCACACCACCATGGCACCTCCCCACCACACTATAATCATTATACGCTATAACTTCACGCCTGCTGGAGTGGCAACTAGGGCCTTCCATTGCTGGCAACGCTAGCCTAGTTGCATGAAGCTATAGTGCCATATTTATCATGGCTATGTCATCATATGTATCTGGTTATGTCACCATATGTATCGTAGGCATGGTTGCTTGTATATGTAAGTTATTGCACCATATATATCATATCTATGCCCAATATGTATCATAGTATGGCACACATCATATCTGTAGCACCTTTATACATATCTATAGCCCCTTATGTATAATATCTACGGTACCATGTATAATAAGCTATGCTACAATTCACTTAACTATGACATCAAACACATCGTAGCCCTGGCACCATGTGTGTATGATATACACACCAGCCTTCATCTGTGGCACGATATCCACCAGACCTCTTTGTGGCACGATATCCACCAGACCTCTCTGTGGCACGATAACCACCAGACCTCTCTGTGGCACGATATCCACCAGACCTCTGTGTGGCACGATATCCACCAGACCTCTCTGTGGCACGATATCCACCAGACCTCTCTGTGGCACGATAACCAAAGGTTTAATTAACAACCTGTGCATATATTATGAGCTGCTGCGGAAAAGTTTATGGTTTGAATGTTTGCGGTGACCAGTTACATTGTCCTGGTGGTCAGACCAGCGGTGGTCACGTCTCGCCGGATATACCTTATCGCTGCTTGGAGGCTGCCGGGGGATGAAAGTGCATGAAGCACGCACGCATTTGGGGGGGGAGGGCTGCGTTTTGATATTAACGAAACATTTGTTAATGTTTGAATACAAAGTTGGGGGTTGTGGCCCCGTTAGGTAGCCAGGCAGTGATGGCTGACGTTCACCCGCGCTCGCTACGCTGTGTAGCTGCTTGGCCGCCCTCGCCACACTGCGCAGCTGCTTGGCCGCCCTTGCCACACTGCGCAGCTGCTTGGCCGCCCCAGGAACGCTGGGTGTGCGCTTCTCAGGCCCGGGTGTGACGTGGCGAGACTCGTGTGTCTACATCTTATTGTACCGACGTGTTCACCGTCTTGGTACCCCGACCAGTGAGTGTAGGTGACTCTGGGACACCAAGCCCACACCGCTCATCTTCCCCCTCCCACCTCTTTCTTCCCATCGCTCTTCAGTTAAACATTTGAAATGTTCTCGCCGCGTCTTTCTCTTAAATATGAACATTTCTACACGTCATGATTCAGTAGAGAAGCACTGCAGTATTTTGGTGACGTCAATTTGAGCCAGCACGTGGACACGAACCCTGCCACGTGTACTGTGAGCCTGGGCTG